AAAAAAAAAAAAAAAAAAAAAAAAAAAAAAAAAAAAAAAAAACAGAAACAAAACAAAACAAAAGCAGTGCTGAATTTTGCCAAATGGCTATTCTACAATTATAAATTTGATCGGATAGTTTTTTCTTTATATTAATATGATAGATGACATTAATAGATTTTCTAGTACTGGGCCTCCTTTGCATTCTATGAATAAGCTCCACTTGATCATAATGAATTATGCATTTAATGTGCTGTCAAATTCTACTCAGTAATATTTTATTTAATACTTTAGCTCAATACTTAAAAGTGGACTCAATCAGTAGTATTATTTTGTATAGTCTGTGTCATGTGTGGAATTGATGTTACGTTTACCTTTTTCTTTTTCTTTTTTGGCAGCATGCTGGTATGGAGATCCAAATCCTTGACCTTGTGTTATAACACCACGCTGTAACCAACTGAGCTAACTGGCTACCCCTATGTTCACTTGATGCGGTTTCCTTCCTGTATCTTTTTCTACACTGTGGCATATGCTTGGTAGAGTTGAAATTATTTCATCTTCATTTATTATTTGTTTATTTATTTATTTATTTTAAAAGACAACCGGTAAGGGGATCTTAACCCTTGATTTGGTGTTGTCAGCACCACGCTCTCCCAAGTGAGCCATGGGCTGGCCCTGAAATTATTTCATCTTTAAAGGAGAAGTAGAGATGGTAATGTGTTGGTGCTTTTTTTGCTTGAAGAGTTCTTTCATAATTTTATTTTTAAAGATTTTTAAGCCTTTTAAGTTTACATATGTGTATCTATGAGCTTAATGTTATATTCATCACAGCATTGTTTGGTATAGTGAACTATGTGTATTAATCCAAAGTTCCCTCTCTAGGAGATGGTTAAATATTTTAAGCTTCATCCACACAATACTATGTAGCAGTAGAAAAGAAAGGCTGAAGATTTTTATGCAGTTACATGGAAAAAAAAACCCCATGATTTAAGGTGAAGCGATAAAAAGCAAGCTGCAGAAGGGTACATAATGACCTCGTTTTCATGATATAAAGGGAAAATAAGAAACTCTGGAAAGATACACAGGGAGCTATAAAAGTGGTTACTTCTTGTTGGAGTGAGCAGGACTGAAGCCATGTTGGGACCTAAAACTGCCTGGGCTGTTGAGGGGAGGAGGATAATTTAAAAGGACAGTTTTTTCCCTCTCCACTCTTTCTTCCCATCCCCTGAATTTCTTATCTTGCTCGCTAAGTAGGAAAACAAGGCTGAGAAGCTAATTAGTTCTTTGCAGAACTAACAGTTCTTTTTTGGGACTTGTAGAGTTTTGAGAAATGATCGAGGCCACGTGACTGGAAGATGACCTTGGGCACCAGCCAAGTACATTGGCATGAATCAAAATCTTGCAGGGTCCTGAGATAACAGCAAAGATGAGAACAGAAACCAGACGAGGCCTTGGCAAGACCCTGTACCTGACCCATACAAATGGACCCCTGGTAACTCACATCTCCTTCTCTCCTGCTTTTCACCTCCCATATTCCATTTCCTCAACCCTTCCTTTAAAAACCCCTCAGTAAATCTAAATCTTTGAAATGGGATAGCCTACCCTCTCCTTCAGCTGAATATATCTGCTTTTCTAAGTGTCTGTGTCTTTTTTTTCTTTCCTTCTCCAGGGGGCGGTAACATTCTGGGTGCCCAGGATTTGAGAACAGGGTAAACTAAGTCAGGGATGGAGGAAGAATTTAAGATTTGCCTTAATCATTCAAATGTTTTAAACACACTGATCTATTACACATTAAAATAAATAAAATATTCAAAATAAGTTTATAATTAAATAAAGAATTTACAACTCAATCAATGAGCTGAACTTTTTACTTCGAAGCCATTTTCTTGCTAAGATATGAATTGCTTCTATTTGAGAGCTTTAATGGCCTCTGCATTTCAAAATTCTCTAGGGGCACAAACAACTTGTTGGAAGTCAAGGTGTTCTTCCAGTTGGAAGTGTATTCCCCATATTTTATTTTTATTTTTTATTACTAGCATATTCATTATTACAAATAGTGATTTCTCTTTATGCCATTTACCCGACCTATTGCTCCCCAAACCCCCTCCCTTATCCCCCATCTCTAGTATCCTTAGGTTTGTTCTCTGCTTCTGAAAGTTCAATGTATTGTTGTTCAATGTATTTTCTTTCTCTCTCTTTCTTTCCACCCAGTAATGAGTGAGAACATGTGGTTCTGTTTCTTTTTCTGGCTTATTTCATTTAACATAATTTTCTCCAGACTCATCCATATTGCTGCAAATGGCATAATTTCATTCTTTTTTATGGCTGAGTACTATTCCAGTATGTACATATATATCACATTTTCTTTATCCAGTTGTCTGTCAGTGGACACTTAGGTTGGTTCCATAGTTTGGCTATTGTAAATAGAGCTGTGATGAACATGGGGGGGCAGGTATCCTTTTGACATGATGGTTTCCACTCCTTTGGATACATACCCAGTAGTGGGATTGCTGGATCATATGGTAGTTCTATCTGTAATTCTTTGAGGAACCTCCATACTGTTTTCCATAACATCTGTGCTAATTTAGTCCCACCAACAGTGTAAAAGAGTTCTCCTTTCCCCACATTCTCACCAGCATTTGTTACCTCCATCTTCTTAAATACACCCATTCTATTTCTTAAGAAATATGTAACCATACTACTTCAGTATAAAGAAATTGAAGTCTATGTTGGGTTCCAAGATCTCCTTGTATTCACTACTCAGAAGTTCACATTAAGTTAGGTTTCCACAAAACAAAAAGAAATGTGATGCTAAAATAATGATAAAGTTATTGGGTAAACAAGATTATACAATAGCCCTCTCATTGTGAAATGATGTGAAAATCCACCCTGCCATGTCAGGGTGAGGCACCCTCCCACAAGAAATGCACTTACAAACCACTCATGCAGAAAGGGCAGTTTATTCACTCCAGCTGGCCAGCGTCCATCTCCCAAGGTGCAACCAAGGAAGAGCGGCATCAGGCTTTGGTCTTGTAGGGTTTTTAAAGGCAAAAACTATATCCCGTTGGCACACAAGTTTGTCCAGGTGCACAAAGCAAGCTAGGGAGCTAGTTTACAGAGGCCTAGAACAAGCTGTTCGAGCAATCAAGCATACAAGTTTTCATTGTGTATGGTTCCTGTTCCCATGTAATAATTCACTCTGTATGGCTCCTGTTTCTATGCAATTGTTTTTTGTTTCTATGAAAAGGTCAACGATGTCTCATGCTGAAGGGGGGTAGTCTGCAGGTCAGATGGGCAAAATGGAGTTACTTAGGTTAAGTAAGCAATTCTACAGAAGCAGACAGTGTATGTTATGAGGGCGTAGGGAGCTCTATTTCATTCCCAACTCCTCTTTAGGAAGGAATCAAATCACTGATTCATCAGTACTTAATTTGTTGTACTTAGTATGTAAAACAAGGAGTTTGACTGATTGTTCATTAACCAAGGTGACCAGGAAAAAAGATTTTCAAACCAATTTTTATTATTAGTATATGACTCTTTTCTTTCTTTAGTGTATTTTCTGACTAATGTAAGGCTGTCTCTAATAAAACTTGAATGGTTGGTATAGAAACAACAGGTTTCCCTAGAGCCACATATAATCCACCTTGTTAGTCTGATTGTGTGGATTATATATGGGTGCAGCTGCTGCTGTGCATTCAGATAGGTTCAGCCTCTGTGTAGGACACAATGGCCACAGCAAAGAGGAAAAAATTAACTTTTTAAAACATTGTCAGATTGACCTCTTGGTGTAAATTTTTTTATCAAAGCACTTTACATTTAAAAATTGTTATTTAGGGCCGGCCCCGTGGTGCACTCGGTAGAGTGCGGCACTTGGGAGTGTGGCGGCACTCCCGCCGAGGGTTCAGATCCCATATAGAGACTGGTCCACTCACTGGTTGAGCGCGGTGTGGGTGCAACACCAAGGGTTGCGATCCCGTTACTGGTCACGAAAAAAGACAAAAAGGAAAAAAAAATTGTTATTTAATTGGAAAAACTCTCAGTAAACTAGGAATAGAAAGCACCTCTCTCAATCTAATAAAGTGTATCTACAAAAAGCCCACAGCTAACATCATACTTAATGGTGAAAAACTGGGTGCTTTTCCCATAATGAGGAATAAGGCAAGCATGCCCGTTCTTGTCATTTTTATGCAGCATTGTATGGGGCCAGCATTGTATGCTAGCCAAAGAGCTACTAGAACTAAACATGTTTGGCAAGTTTGAGGACCTGAGATTAAAATGAAAAAAGTAATTGTACTTCTATATACTTGCAATGAACAGTCTGAAAATGAACTTAACAATTTCATTCACAATAGCATTGAAGACAATAATATGTTTAGGGACAAATTTAACAAAAGAATGCAAGAGTTGTCTGTTGAAAACTACAAACTACTGCTAATAGAAATTAAAGACAATCTAAATAAACTCAGAGACATTTCATGTTTATGGACTAGAAGACGATATTATTAAGATGTCAATTTTTCCCAAATTGATGAATTCAATGTAACCCTTCTTAAATTCCAGGAGGCCTTTTGCAGAATTGACCAATTGCTTTTGTGGGTGGGTAGGCCTCTCTGACCAAGGGGTAAATCTGGCATAAACTGAAGAAGGTTATGGTTAGTGATTTCAGCAAGTTTATCATCTCTGATCTGAGGCAGGGCAACAGAGAGGGTGTAATTCCTTGTTTGTAGGGGGTACACTTAGCCCTTAGGAGGGCAAAGGGAAGGAGGCTCACCCAGTTCTCGCCAGTCTCTAGTTTTAATTTGGTAAGTGTTTCTTTTAAAGTCTGATTCATTCATTCTACCTGTTCTGAACTTTGTGGCCTATGAATATAATGTAAATTCCAATTTATTTTTAGTGTTTTAGCTAATAATTGGGAAATTTGGGCTGTGAAAGCCAGGCCATTGTCAGACCCCAAGGTTACAGGTAGGCTGAATCTGGGGACAGTTTCTCATAACAATTTTTTTACTGTTATCTGAGAAGTTTCAGTTTTGGTAGGAAAGGCTTCTACCCATCTAGAAAAGGTGTCTATGAACACCAAAAGGTAGTGATACCCATGTTGTCCAGGTTTTACCTCAGTGAAGTCAATTTTCCAGTGTTCGTCAGGGTTCATTCCTTGTGTTCTGGTTCCAATGGGCAGCCTTGATTTTGGCCCTGGATTTACTTGTGAACAAATTTCATATCTGGTAACAATGTCTTTTGTTATCTTGTCAAGATCTTGGATGTAATAATAGTTTTTTAAAGTTCAGTTAATTTTGTGGATCCATGATCTGTTCCTTGATGTATCTGTTTAATCAGCAATCTGCCTAGATCCTATGGCAAATAAATCCTGTGGTCTGGAAGAATTTTCTAATTCATGGATTGAGGTGCTGGAGCGACTATTAAAGAGTCAAATGGCCCCACTGGTTTTAATGTGTTCTCTTTGGCAGTCAAATTAGTAGCAGCATTGCCTTGGGTCTCAAATGAGTTATCTTTCTGGTGCCCTGGGCAATGTATGATGGCCACTCTTTTTGGATACCATATGGCCTCAAGGAGGGCTAGTATTTTTGCTTTATTATTTATTTATTTATTTTCTGATGTCAATTGTCCTTTTTGTTTGTATAAGGCCCCATGAACATGGGCAGTAGCAAAAGCATATCCGTTGTCAGTATATATGTTAACAGTTTTATCTTTTCCATGCTTTAAAGTCTGTGTTAGTGCTATGAGTTCAGCCTTTTGAGCAGATGTTCTTTGGCTTAAGGCTTGAGCCCAAATGACCTGATCTAAAGTTACCATGGCTGTCCCGGCATACCTGATTCCATTAGAGATGAAACTGCTTCCATCAGTGAACAGCATTTCATTAGGCTTTGTCCAGGGCACATCAGTCAGTTCTGGCCAGAGGCCTTGGAGAGTCTCAATTGTTTTGAGGCAGTCATGGACAGGCTCGGTTGGGTTGTCATCTGGGAGGAGGGTAGCCAGACTTAGAGCCATGGTTTTTAGGGGCTGATCTAGAAGTAAAGCCTGATACTGGGTGAAGCAGGAGTTGGTGAGACATTGTTCAGGTGAAGAGAGTCTGTACAGAGTGGGGGGCCACCAAGCATATGTCTTGTTGGCCTCTTTTACCAGTAAAGCAGTTGCTGTTATGGCTCAGAGACAGGTTGGCCATCCTGTGGCTAAACTGTTTAACCTCTTGGAGAGGTAGGTGATAGGCCTCTTCCATGGTCCCAGGGCTTGGGTGAGCACCCCCTTGGCAATGCCTCACATCTCAGCAACAAACAGGCTGAAGGGCTTCATCAAATAAGGTTGGGGAATTTTTAAATCCTTGGGGGAGGTGAGTTCAAGTTAATTGTCCTGAGTATCCTCCCCCAGGGTCAGTCCATTCAAAGGCAAAGAGAGGTTGGCTTACTTTGACCAGTGGGAGGCTGAAGAAGGCATTCTTAAGATCTAGCTTTTTGGTTTATTTCTCTTCTGGACTATCTCTGTTGCTAAAGACCTTCTGGGCAATTTCAACCAGCTCAGATAATAATTTTCCTTTCAATCCTTCCTGTCTTTGAAGCTTTCTTCTAATGTATGGGGCTGACTGGGTAACAAAGGCAATATTTATTGCCTGCTGGTTTTCTGGGGTCTCAGAGTCCACAGGAGTGTAGGTCCTGTAAGCCTCCATAAGGTGTTCCAGGAAAGTGGTGGGGGTTTTGTTTGGTCCCTGAATAGTTTCACTTACTTTTGATAGGTTAGTGGGCTTCTGGGTTGCTATGCAGAGTCCCCTAGGGAGAGTCTGGTGATACAGGTTGAGAGCCCCCTTATCTTGGTCCAGGTTTGGGTCCCACCCAGGTCT